TCATCAAAAGACATCAACTCTTGTCTGTTTTTGTAATTCAAAACTGTTGTCATTCACTCTGAAAATGTAATTAATCTACTTTTCTCCTACAAAACTCTTACTTTCTAAAGAGGAAACTCTTGTCAGCTTCCTGTACACACTCGGTTATTATTGCCAAATTTGAGTTTTCTTTATTTTGCTTTCTGGGTGGGCTTTACATATTCTCCCCGTGCATGTGTTTCCCCTGGTACTCTTGTTTCCTCTCACAGATCAAAAACATGCATTTTAAGTTAATTAATAACTCTATATTGTAGTGTGAGTAAGTATTTGTCTTTATGTGGAAAGAAAACATTTTAACACTAGTTCTTCTACCATTAAAGTTTGGAAGAAAGTTATATAAGATTGCACAAAGCACTTTCCCCGTTCACATGGAAACTGTGTTTTATGAGCCCCTAAATAGTATTTACAGTAAAAAAAAAATTGAAATGCCACACTTGTATTTTTTTTAATTAAAAGATTGTTTTTTGAAAAACTAAGTTTGCATGTCGACAGAAAAGCTTTGGCCATGATGGGTTTGTGTGTGAATGACCAAAAGCAGAGCGGCTCGTCTTTGCAGCAGTGTTGCAGAAATAGTGTGTTTAGGGGTGTATTCACGCCAGCCCGATTTAGTCCGTTTTAATTAAACTCTACTTCATTTGTTCTTCATTTCACATATGATCTTAACTGGCATCCCATTCCTAATCCATAGGGTTCAATAGGACGTTGGTGCACCCTTTACAGCTAGAACAGCTTCAACTCTTCAGGGAAGGCTGTCCACAAGGTTTAGGAGTGTGTTCATGGGGATTTTTGACTATTCTTCTAGAAACTCATTTGTGAGGTCAAATACTGATGTTGGACAGAAGGCCTGGCTCTCAGTCTCTGCTCTAATTCATCCCAAAGGTGTTCTATCAGGTTGAGATCAGGACTCTGTGCAGTTAAGTCCAGTTCATCCACACCAGACTCTGCCATCCATGTCTTTATGGACCTTGCTTTATGCACTGGTGCACAGTCATGAAGTCATTTGTGAAGAAGGAAGTTGCGCCCAGAGTCTTCTGAAGAGGTTTTTGTGTTGTTTCTTTCAGTAGTTCTTGGTGCAGCGCCACCGCAGGCGAGGGGGTGAACAAGTCGGTCAAAAGGTTTGGTTCATTAGACACAGTGCAATGTGAAAGCGAACCTCACCAGCTGAAAATGTAAACAAATGTTGCAACTTTTGGCAGTTTTCCACTAGGGCCTCTACAGCACGGTTTGACTTGATTAAACTCTGTTCTGCCCTGTTTGGGTGGTTTTCCGTATCAGTAACAGCTCTAGTGGGCGGGTTCATCAAAAAGTTCGAAAATTGACGCCACACACCTTACCACCTAGTGGCGGTTATGCTCTATTAAGCTATTTGCCAGCCAGCATTAAACATAGTAGAAGAAGATACGCAAAACAACAATGTAGTAGTGTTGTTACTGCAAATGGCAGATCAGGTTGTTGTGAGAGGATTTCTTGTGATGCAACCAGTGACTTCACCCACTAACCAGATGGTCTTCTGACGTCATGTTTTCAGGCCAGCACAGTACACGTGGAACCACAAAGAAGTATGTTCTGAAAAAGGGGCTGGTTTCATGAATCCTTGCTAGTGGAAAAGCCTTGGGACCCTGGAGAGCCACAATGAGCCAGGCTGTAGAGGCGCTGGTGGAAAAGGGGCATTAGGGTCCCAATCAAATCAAGTCTACCAGACTATCAGGTGTGAAAACACTTGGGGTCATTTCTGCAGTGGAATAATTAATGCCAAAGTGACACAATGCAGCTAAAAAAAGGGTAAATAGCTCCTCATATACTTCTCACAATCTCAAATCAGCAAAATGGATTTTCTTATGAGTTTTATTTACCGTAACCAATTGTTAAAAAGGAAAATATTTTTGCTTCTTTGTGTTCTTAAATAGGAAACTCTTCAAATGTATTTAATATTTGCAAGTATTTTTTCAGTAAATATACTTTTGCCAGTAAGTATTTTGTGAATCCAGGGCTTTTAAACTTTAGTAATTTTGTTCTCCAGCGTTCTTTTTTGAAATCAGAATCCAAGAAAAGGAAAGCATTGGGCTCAAATGCCACATTCATGCTAACCTGTCCCTGTGGATCCCCCCTCCGTTGGTCATTCTGGGTTACGTAAAAATGAAATGCGAGCTCTTCTTCCACACAGGGGGGCGTGACTCGATGGAAAAACTGTGGCAGTGTGACAAAGGTGAATGTGTGTGCATGTGAATTTATGTTACCAGGCAGAACGTCGTCGGCTTTACGTTGCCGCTGTCGCCTCCTCCCCCAACTTCAGCATTTTTCACTCTGCTACCCCTCCCCCAGTCGTGATGTAGGTTAGTGGGTGTAGTCATGTGAGACTGGTCTTTGACCTCCTATCCTCCATGTGAGAGTAGACTGAGCTGTGAATGATAATCCCCCCCACCTCACCACCACCAACAGGGCTTTAAAAGGGTCCTGGGGTTCATTCAGCAAGAATGTTTTGAATCGGTCAGTTTCCTCCTCTTTATTCTCACTCTTCTTTCTGCCCCACTTGTCTTATATGAATACTTCACTTCCTTCCAGCACGTCTGTCTCCAAACACACCAGCTCTTGTAAGTTCGATGGAGCTTTTTCTTCTTTTTTTGTTGTTGCCACATTTACATGCCGCTGACATTGAACGTTTATGGTAACTAACTGTTTACGATGTGTTTATTTGGGTTTACGATGTGCCATACTCCTCACCGAAGCCAAAAGCAAATTATCCAAAACCTGCTCTGACCACAAACTACTAATTTCTTTTCTGTGTTTTTATTTGCATCTTTTTCATTGCACTACTTCTCATCTTTTTTTATTCCAAAGCTTTCCTCCATCACTCCCATCGTCCTTTGTGGACAATTAGAGTCTGAAATTGTTTTATTGCAGTCGTTTTGTGCTGTCACTGTCTCTGTTTTCTCTTCACAGTCTTTCACGCTTGAAAATGTCATCAAACACAGAAGGCATTTCGGTTAACTGACCACTAATATTAACTTACATTGATCGTTCTGCACTCTTTTATTTCTTCTTGAACTTTCCAGCCTTTTCCCCTGTTTTCTTCCTGTCCGTCTTGTCCTTACAGGACCTTATTACCACTGTTACCTAAGAATTTTTTTCTCTGGTGTGGGCGTGGCTTGGTGACATCACACTGCCTCCTGTGTCAGTTGGCCAGGAGGGGGAGGAGAAGGAGGAGGAGAACAGGAAAAGCAGCCCAACCGGTGATCAGGGGGGTCTCCTACACTCGCTCAGCTGAGGCTGTTTTCATCGACTCATTGTTTTGTAATTGTCCTAATGGCACCCTGTCCTCACCGAGGTGCCGGTTAAACTGTTAGACAAGACGTAGATGTTGGGAGACTATCTCTCTCTCTCACACACACACACACACACACACACACACACACACACACACACACACACACACAAACACACACTGACGTGTTCATTTCAGTAAGATAGTGAAGATATGTGTTGGCTGGAAGACGCACGTCAGCTGGAGTAAGTTTTTAAAAAGTGAAACTAATCAGGAGGCATGGATCTTTCAGCCGAATAGGAGACAAAAACTTTCAGCCACATGACATGGGTGAGTAGCTGAAATGTCTCGACTTGACTCTCCTGGCATGTGGACAGTTTTTTTATACTGTATATCAGCAAAGCGCTTCCTATAATCTTGATAAGTTCAGATTTCTATCATGTGTATCTTTGAATCAAGATATGAATGGACACACGTGGTGGTGGTGGTGGTGTGTGTGTGTGTGTGTGAGGGGGCGGGGGGGTTCTAACTGACCTACATTTGATCTGGTGCCAAATCTTGTACCGGGTCGTTGTGGCGGAGCAGAGCTCAGAGGTTTCATAAGGCATATTATGAAATAGCCGCAGAAGTCGTCCTTGATCTTCTCCAAATAACATTCTTGTCTCCGTCTGCACAAACCTTACATAAGGTTGGAGTTTTTCTTTCTTATTTTTTCCTTTTAATCAAAACTGGTTTGCGAACTTGATTGTTTTAAATTTTCTACCATAAGGTTTTGGAGGCAGATTCCATATAAGAAGATTCCATCAGTGAAATACCGGTGTAGGGTAATTGTAGTTTATATAAATGGTCAAGTTTCTGCTTGTAAGTGTTGAACAGACTTCAGGTCAACCCCCCCATCATGGTTGCAAAGGACATGTTTCAACATTTAACGTCTGGAGTTTAGGCTCATTAGTTTATGTAAGAAGCGAATTTCCCAGTTTAGGCCTATTAAAATGCAACTTTTAAGCCTTTTTTTTCCCCAATTATGTTAGTTACCATTTTGATTGTTATGATTTGAGGCTAAACCCTTGTTGAACTTCATGTTTTAGGTGCGTTCAGTGTAAAAAAGGCAACATTTGTTTAAAAAAATCCTGTAATTTTTGCTGTTTCCAGTATACATTGAAAATGTTTGAGTTTTGTGTTATTTTGGCTTTCAAGTCTTTATTTTTTTCCTCATTCTTCTTCATTCTCAAAGGCCAGGACTACTCGTTTTAAAAAGCAGGAACGTAACTTCATGTGTGTAAAACTACACGTTTTTCACAGATTTAAGCGTGATCACAACTGCACCATGTGTTTCCTGATGGTTTGGCATGTGTTTGTGTGTACTTTGTGTGTCCGTCTGTGTCGTCTGATCTTTTGACCAGAGAACGAGACGCCTTTGTGCTCGAAGCCCATCACTATTGCTGACCGATAAACGCGTTTACAGCAAGAGAGTGGAGGTGCCTGCTTCCGCACACGCTCAGTTCCTGCTGCGTGTATTTATGGTGGGCGTGTTTTGTGGGTATTTTTGTTTTGTTTTGTTTTGTTTTGTTTTCTCCTCCTCCTGTGAAAAGGAAAACCCTCAGACTCCGCTGTACGTGTACCCCCTCAGCAGGGCCCCAGCTCCAGCATGAAGGGTTATGTAAGCTTTCATCCACCAACCCTCCTGCCTGCCTCTGCTTCACATTGGCAGTGTTATTAAGCAGAGAGAGCAGTCAGCTGGTACTCAAATATTCACTGAAACAGTCGATTTAAGACTAGCTGAGTATAAAATAAGGAGGACAGGAGAAAAGTGAAGCTCCTCTTTTATTATAAGTTTATTTCCCCACCATAGCCTGAAACAGAAGACAGTTTTACAGTGTGACAGAAAGGCAGAGGAGACCAGCTCTTTGCTTTTCTTTATAACCATGCTGCTTCTGGACGAATCAGAGTCATTCGCAGGTAGGTGACTTAACTGTTTTTATTATTTTTGCAGACTTTGTGAAGATAATAACTCTTATTTCCAGGGAAACCTATACAGGACTTGTCAACAAAGGTTATTTAAAGGAGTTGCACTGAAGTTGGAGACAACATTAAGGTTTGAAAAGGGAATAAGGAGGTGAATTAGAAGCTTTATAGATATTAATGATCAGTGCTTTTCTGCTGCAGTGGCTCTTTCATGTCCTGTTTGCAGCAAAAACACATGAATTGAAGTGAGAGAGGCAACTAAACAAGAAAGGGAAACTTGATCAGATAACTAAAACCAGATATGTGAACAGCTTCAGAAGTGTTGAGAAGAGGCGACATGATTTTGACTGACAGCTTAAGTTACTTAACGCTGTTTTGTAACCCTTGATTCATTAAACATGCACAGTGTACCTGTCCTCTCTGTTATAGCTCGCTGCAGGCATCGCTTTAGTTCCTCTTTGTCCTTTTCACAGCAATATTTGTAGTTTTAGTTCCTGTCCTCCCTGAAGATTGTTGCCGGTCTTTTCCACTCATGCTCACTGCCTGTTTCTCCCATTGTCCTCCCAGTTCGGCCTTCCCATTGGCTGGTTGTGGGATTATCTAAAGCAGTGTCTGCGCCTGATTGGTAGACGCAGGCAGGATTAGGCCATGCTCCAAGTGGGAGCATGTGGACGCAAGAAAACATACGGCTCCACTGAGCAGTGGTTTAGGAGGGTAAATATGTGAGGCTTCAGGAGCTGAATGCCTTTAATTACCTTATTTTGGCTGCATAAACTTAGATAAACTTTAAACAAAAGGTAGTTCTTTCAGTTTATTAGACTGGAAAAGATTTTAACATCATTGGATGTGTTAACACAGTTCTAATAATTTGATTACTTCTCTTTTGTATCATTTATTTAGCATTTTAAGGCTTTCACCAAATATCACACATTTTAAACAAAGAAAAGTTGAAGCTGCACAGATATTTGAGTAGGCAGTCTCATTTTGAGGAGTCTTATCTTGTGAGGATTCAGAAGGTTGATGCTTTTTAAATTTGCATGATTGTATCAGACTTGGAAAAAGGAGAGACTATATTAGTCTGTGTTTTTGTCAAATTAAAAAAGCATTGTTTTTTGTTTGTTTGTTTGTTTGTTTGTTTGTTTGTTTGTTTGTCTGTCTTTTCATGTCTGTCAGGATGCACCATTCTTGGTGTTGAAGCTTTTTACTCTGAGGTCCATCAGAGACATCCACGTGTTTTAGATCTTTGTCTACTTCATGAGCTGATTTTTGTGAGGGAAAAAACCCCAATATTTAAGATTTCATATGAAGTCACAGACTGTAGAAGAAGCAGAAGTGATTCCTTGTGTTAACATTATTATTATTATTATTATTATTATTATTATTATTATTATTATTATTATTATTATTATTATGGTGCTCCATAAAGTCTGTTCAGTCATAAATGGTTTCTGCTCATGATGCAAAATCGTTTTTTATGCTTTCAAAACCAGTGAGGTTTATATAAATCAACAGGAGAAGCTAAAGCTGAACAGATTTTCATGCACGGGAGCTCAAATGATCATAGTAGTATCTGGTTTAAATAAATAAATAAATACATAAATAAATAAATTTAAAAAAACAATCCATTAGAGGGATTCATGAATAATTATTTTGAAGAATAAAAACTTGTTTTTCACTTTTTAAATGAAAACAAAATAGTTTTTTTAGTCAAATAGTTTGCTACACAAACAGCAAGGCTTGATTATGATTGTTTTTGTTTATTAGTTTGTTTACAGATTCAGTTCGAATTCATTGGAGATTTTGCTTTAGAAAAATAAATTGGAAAGATGTTTTGGTAATGCAGAAAGAAGTGAAGATATAAAAAGTTTATGCTTCCTACACTTTTCCTGGGTCTGCACCTTCTGTTTTTGCCATTGACAGGAATCCAAAGATTATTTATGATCTATTTTCTGTATTAATTCTGTCTCGTTTTCAGTGTTTGTGTTTGACTTGTGAATGAAAACTGGTGGGCTTTTATTCATGTGATAACTGGGCTCATGAGTTCATTCAAACATATCAAAAATTTTTATGAACTTATTATAACCAACTAAAATAAGCACCTTGATCTTTCTCATTATCACTAATAGCTCTTTTTATTTGATTTTACTGCCCAAGAGAAACATTTTCACACACGGCTGGAGCAAAATGTCTGTGATTGAATTCCATATTAAAGTTTGATGACTAAATGTTTGTGCAGCTGTGAAGCTGTTTTCGTGGAGAACTCGTCTCTAACATCCGCTGACATTGTGTTGTTTAGGTGGAATCGAGCTGAGTCATGCCTTTTTAAAATGAGTTTAATGGACCCAGAAGCCAGCTTATTTGAGGATTCTACATGAGGGTAGCATCAGACGGGTCGTCTGTGAATTTAAAAATCTTAAACACCTGTTTATCACAGATGACTCAACAGTTTTGGCAGCTCTACTTTTGTAAAGCTGCTGACTCAGCTAGTGGCTGTGATTCAGGTTGTTCGTTCTATCTTTTTTTTTTTTTTTAGCAAGCTGCTGACCAGCCCGACATAAATCACATCATCATCTTAGGCCTGGTAGCTTTTTTAATTACTTCTGTTTGAGGTCACAATGCAGTTTTTGTGATCTAACAGAACACAAATGTTGGATTGATCCGGTTGAGAGTGGGTGAGATTTCTCTGAAACCTTTAAAGGGGGGGAAGGTGGACTCTGTCTGCCTGTCTGCCAAAGAACATTATATAACAGGCTATAGTTTGGCCAGTACACTGCTGATTGTTTGCAGCTCTCAGTGTGTGTGTGTGTGTGTGTGTCTGTCCTCTCCGCCTCTTTTCGTTCTCATCCGTTCACCCTCCTCTTCCTCCTCCTCTGCAGAAGTGACACACTGGCCTACAAACAGCCTGTTCTACCTCGCCTCACCCTTCTGCTGTTCTCACTTGTTGCACCGTCGCCTCTGTACCTTCGTTTTTTGTTATTATTATTTCTTTCTTTTTTTCTTTTTTTGTTGTCATGTTTGTCTCATACCGCCTCGTTCTCATTCGGGTGATGCACTCAGACACACACACACGCTGCCAGCAGGACGGTTTCATAACTCACCTGCCTCGCTCTAATAAAGCAGCCCTAATAACTAATTCAGCCTGTTATATAAGAGGTGTGCGTCAGTGTGTGTGTGTGTTTGTGTTTGTGTGTATGAGGTTTTTATCTGACCATGTTTAAAGAAAAGGTAGAAAAAATAGTATTTGTCTTTCTCCAGATGAGTATAGTACCAAGTTAAATGTTGTTTTTTATTAACAGTTTTTTTGAACGTTGTTAATATCAGGATCTTTTAGAAGAAACTTTTAAGGGAACTCCATGATGGATTACTTTTATTCTTTTACGCTAAAAGATAAATAGAAATTTGAAAGAAATGCATGTCGCTCACCACCTTTCGTGCCAGAGTTTTGGACTGAGATCATCTTGTGTTTTGAAATAATCAAACTATAGTCATTTTGATGAACTCGTGATATTTTGTGTGATTTGGCCAATTTTAGCTCGGTAACTTTCATTTTGTCATTTTTAAGTAGGTTAAGGTTAATTAGCCATGACAGTTGTAATCAGTTGTAAATGTACATCCAAAGTTAACTTTCTGAGAAGGTCATTGAAATGTCTTGAGCGGATATAAGATATTTTACTAACAAACAAACAAGGTTGACTCCAACAACCAATGCCATTTAGTGATGTAAGGATTTACTTAAGCTCTGATTCGATTATATTATTGGTTTTAAGTTCACAATTACAACTATTTTTTCAACAAAGTAAATTATAGCCATCTTATAACCAAATATGTTTCTTTTCTTCTATGATCATTGTGTCCTTGTATCAAACTACAACTGTCTGTCATCTTAGTAACTGAGTATAACTTTAAAATGAAATAAAATGTCATCACAAATCCTTTTATGATCAAACGTTATCAAGTATCAACTGAATTTGTCATAATATCCAGTAACAATGAAATTAATTCATTTTTAGAAATAGATTCCCATTTTAAGCAGTTATAATCAATTATTAATAGAATTTTGATTAATTGATCCCTAAATTCTGAGTTTTAGGCAAAGATTTTGTGCGATGTGTTGAGCTCAATATGGGATAAATGGCAAAGATTGTATCATTAATGGCTTCAATATAAAATGTATTTGACATTGTTGGCACATCAAGACAACTGTTTATTAGTAAAAGCAGCAAAGAATAAAGCATTTTTGCACTACGTTGCTTGTTAACCAGTGAAAATAATTTTGCTTCTTGAGTTTGAGAAGTTTAAACTTTCAGTCCATCTATGTCCCCCTCCAGCTGATACATTGACCTGTTTATCTGTTATTGTTGTTATTTTTTGGATGTTTATCCTTCCAGCCGTCTCCTCGTCATCCACGCAGTCTGACATTTCTCCTGCTGCTAAGATTTGGAGAGTTTGAAACACTTGTTAAACTACGAGAACAGCTTTCTAAACAGCCGGAGCGAGGTGGAAAATCCCAACACTGACTGAATGTGGCTGCTTGAGACACACTCGTAACTTTGTGTAGAAGTTCCTAAAAAAATTTTTTTTAAACGTCACGGTGTTCATCGGAGTCTGCCAGCTCTTTTGCGTGTTTGTGACGCGGTGCAGGCGTGTGTGCTGGACGTGAGGTTTGTGTGAACATGCTGGTTGTGTAACAGCCAGAGGCAGCAGTTATATAAGCGTCCCTTCTTGTCCGACCTGCCTCGGCAGCAGTGGCCCGTCTTTTTTTTTTTTTTTTTTTTGGAGGCGACTCGCTTCTTGGGTGAAACTGAGAACTTGTGTGTAAATGTGATGAAGCTAATCAGACCGGTGATTAAAAACTCTCAGTCTTATTGTGTTCTGCAGCGTGTGGCAGCCCCTTCAGGTGAAGAAAGAGGGGTCATGCCTTTTTTTGTACCTATAATCTGCAAGTTGTCAAATAAACATAAACGTTTTGTGATGCACATCTGAGTTTTTTCATC